CTGTACGCGCCGAACCGTTGTGCATATCGCTTATCTGTGCAACGTGACCGTTGTCCACTTTATCTCCCGTGCATCCATACCCCATACATTATGTCTAATTAAAACATTATTATAATTATTAATTACTATTTATTGTCTTTGTTTCTGTTGTACCATTTGCTTATATGTCAAATGTCTTTGTAGATTGTTCATGTTATCATTGTCTTGTTTTTAATCGTTTCGGTATCATATTTTTTCTTCGCTCTTATATTTTTTCTTTTTTTTCTGTTTACGTATCAATTTGTTCTTTGCCACTTTCGGCACCCGTACCTTTTTTTGTCGTCGCCATTGCGGCACGATCATCGATTGAACTTACACTGCATCGTCGCTGGCTAATATAGCCACACATATGTTCAATAAATATACACTCCACCAATAATAAGTGAGTTCTTTTTTTGTCTCTTATTATTATCTGCTCCTCACCAACGCGTGTGCGAGATATCCTATATTGTACGTGTGCCATCACCCCGTCATTCCTGCGAGACCGTCGACTCTTTGTCGAGTGCTGATAGTCGTTGCGAGCCGCGTACGCGGTCTTCACGTATTGGTCTCCCAGTCCGCATAAGTCCGCCAGCATCCGGCGTGGTGTGTGTGAGGCCGCCCTGGTCTACCAACTTGCTGCCCCGCTGCTGCGTAAGTCCGCCAGCACCCAATTGAGGGTGTGTGAGAGGCCGCCACGGTCGTCCAGTCGCGCCACTCATCGACGAATCTATCAACCCACTGCACCTGCCTTAATTTTAATTACCCTTAAGTAATAGTTAGTAAGAAATGCCCGATTATATGTGAGCCTCGTCGGTCATTGCACCACACCGAACTGACCAAGAGGACAACCCCACCCAATATTTATTAAACTGCTTCCGTCCTATCATAACTTCCGTATTTCCACCACAGGTTGCCGGTCCTACGTTTCAGGCAAAGCAAACGGTCGGATAAGTTGCCTACCCACTCAGGTTAAGGGGCAAATCGATCCTGTAAGAGAAGTTGTCTATACACCACCCCTTACGGGTATAAAGTGTCCCGTCCGATCGAAGTAGCACCTTTGTTCACTATACATTTTGGTCCTTCGAACCGGATCACATTATTAAAGAAAATTGTGATCTTGATTATACAGTCCACTATACATTTTATTGCCGTTCTCCTGTTCTGCCAGGTGTCAGTTAGCGTTGTTTCATTAGACACTGTATTGATACTGTAGTTACCTCTGCGAACTCGTTTCCCGAGTTTGTTCTTACCATCCTTGTTTTTTAACTATAGTATCTGTCGGTTAACTAGACAAAATGACTGTCCCCCAATCAATTCATTACATTGACGCTAAAGGCAGAGTGAATAGGGCGTTAGCAAAATTAAACACTTTCGTAAAGGCTTCCAGCGAGTATAATAATGATAGATCAAGTGTCAGTAAGCGTGCCAAGATACGGCAGATGCTGAGTGAGCTGAGTGAGATTCGTCGCCAGGTTGAGGACGACGTCCAAATAATGGAAACATCTGTTGGTCAAAAAACTGCCCCTATTGATGTTACTGACAATCAATGTAGTACTTTACTGATTGAGTCATTCGATACACTCTATTACGAACTTGCCGCGTTTGCGGATGTCCATTCATTTTCATTATCAAAATCGAACAATTCAGCCGCCAATGACACAGTCTTAAACCAGTCGAGTGGTATCAACAATTTATCAATGTTTCAACTGCCCAAGCGCAAGCTTCCAACTTTCTCTGGTAATATTGTTGAGTGGCAAGGGTTCGAGGATCTTTTTCGGTCTATATTATCTCATGCTCCTGAATTACCAGACGTAGAAAAATTTGAACTCTTGAAAACGTCCCTCGAAGGTGAAGCTCTCTCTCTCATTTCTCATCTCGCGCTCACTTCAACAAATTACCAAAGTGCTTGGGATCTTTTGCGAATGAGATATGGAAATAAACGGGATTTGGCACGGATACATCTTGACGCGCTTTTGAAGCCTCCTGAAGTGAAGTGGAATGATTCTTCATCAATTAAAACTGCGATTACTACAATCCTTGAGCATACTTCAGCGTTGGATAATCTTGAATTCGTAACTCGTCAATGGAGTCCTATACTAATACATCTTTATGAAAATCAACTCGATTATGAACTGCGTTCTCGTTGGGAGCTTCTTGTCGGAGATAAACAAAACCCCCAAATGAGTGAGTTTATTGATTTCCTGCGTAGCCACGTACGCTCAGCAGAAGTACATCAGTTGAAAGGTTCTGCCACCCCGTGTACCTCAACGAAAAATCATTATAAACCACCTCAACCAAATAGTTATAAATCACGATACGGACCCAATCAAAAGGTGTTATCTGCCACGTCAAGTCAAGCACCGACTGTGTGCTGTCCGCTGTGCAAAAAACCACATTCTATAAGGAAGTGTCAATTGTTCAGCGATCAGACACCCAGTGAACGTTTTAAGATGGCCAAAACGCATCAATTATGCATTAACTGTCTTGGACCTGGCCATTCACCTTCGGCGTGCCGATCAAAGTATAAATGTCAAACTTGTAATAAGTTACACCATACACTTCTACACTTTGATGCCTCGACTAGTGCACAGCCCGGCCCCTCAGAATCAGCAGACCGGCCGGTAGTCAATTGCAACACCGCTTCTCTGAGTACAAGAAGACAACGACCGTCCAGAGTGGTGCTACTTTCTACCATCCTGTTAGAAGTTGTTGCTCGTGATGGATCTCGTCAATCATTTCGAGCACTGGTCGATAGTGGCTCGCAGGCGAGTTTTATTACGGAAAAATCTGCTTGCTCATTAATGCTACGTCGAGATCGTTCATCCGTAAATATTTCCTCTTTTAATAGCACTACGTGTACTCCTGTTCGTAGCAAGTCCACAATAGTTATCACCCCTAGAGGTCGATTAACTCCATCGGTCCCCGTTGATGTATTAATTGTTCCACAAATTACTGAATGTACACCTCAACAGCCGATTGTTCCTGGGAAATGGCCTCATATTGTTGATCTGCAATTGGCTGATCCATCATATCACACCCCAGGTGAAATTGATATACTTTTGGGTGCTGATATTTTACCTTCCTTGTTGCTCAAGGGTACAGTAGAGGGACAAAAAGGAGAACCGATGGCAATCGAAACAGTTTTCGGTTGGATTCTCATTGGGCCTGTCAACCTTCATGCTCAACGCAATACAGTGTCCCTATGTCTATCCATATCAGAACCGCTCGATGAGACATTGAAAGCATTTTGGGAAATTGAAGAGCTACCTTCAGTCCCTCATCTAAGCCCCGAAGACATTGAAGCAGAAACTTTTTATAAGTCATCAACGACTCGTCTTGCGTCTGGAAGATTCATGGTTAGACTTCCGTTTCGCAAACCTCTCCCATTGCTCGGGGATTCAAAGGCCATTGCACTTCAGCGTTTGAAGGCCCTTGAATTACGCTTAGGAAAAAATGAAGATCTTTGTAAACAATATGTGGATTTTATGCAGGACTACTTAACAGCTGGCCATATGGAACTAATTCCACCTGAAACCGTTGATACTGCTTATAAGTATTACATTCCACATCATTGCGTTCTGAAACCTGATAGTACAACAACGAAATTACGAGTTGTTTTTAATGCGTCTGCTCAGACTACAAACGGTGTCTCCCTGAATGACAGCATGTATGTAGGTCCTAAGCTTCAGCCAGATATACAGATTGTACTGCTCCGGGCCCGCCTTTGGAAATATGTATTTGTTGCAGACATCAAACAAATGTATCGACAGATTCTTGTCCACCCAGATGATAGAGACTACCAACGTATCTTATGGCGTTTTTCATGTAACTCTCCTATTGAAGAGTATCGGCTCTGTACCGTGACCTATGGCACATCGGCAGCTCCGTTTCAAGCACTTCGTACTATTCGCGAGTTGGCCATGGTTGATGGTGCCACCTTTCCACGAGCCGCTACAATTCTTTTAAATGATACCTTTGTTGATGACGTTCTCACAGGAGCCAATTCAATATCAGAAGCGCTCGAGTGTCAACAACAGCTCATTCAACTATGTTCACGTGCACAATTTGATCTCCGGAAATGGGCCAGTAATAGCAGTGAAGTTTTGCATGCTGTCAGTGAAGATGCTCGTGCAATGGCACCATCAGTGCTTTTTGATGCTAGTGAAAATCCAGACTTAAAGATTCTTGGTCTCAAGTGGGATCCTCTGTCAGACACATTTTCCTTTAAAGGACACCCAACAATCAAAAGTCCAACAAAACGATCAATTCTTTCGGACATAGCTCGAGTTTTTGATCCGTTAGGACTCCTATCACCCATTACTTTATGGACAAAACATGTGATGCAACGACTATGGACTGATGGCATTGGTTGGGATGATCCTGTCTCTGCAGAAATCTCACAACAATGGTCGAGATATCAGTCGGAACTACATCTAATTACTAATATTCAAATTCGTCGTCGATTAACATACGACAATATGACTTCTGTGCAATTGCATGCATTCTCTGATAGTTCAGAAAAGGGCTACGCTGCTGCTGTATATTTAAGAATTGAATCACCCACTTCGGTGCATTGTCATCTAGTTGCTGGAAAGTCTAAAGTCGCTCCTTTAAAACGATGTACAATCCCTCGGCTCGAATTGTGTGGAGCTGTTTTAGCTGCGAGGTTACTCCATTTTGTTGTCAGCGTTTATGCGGATCGACTCAAAATTGATGAACAACATGCATGGACCGACTCTACAACTGCACTGGTCTGGATTCAGTCTTCCCCCCACAAGTGGGCCACGTTCATAGCAAACCGCACGAGTCAAATTCAGCAACTAACTTCTCCCTCTATTTGGCGCTATGTACCCACACAACAAAATCCTGTTGATTGTGCTTCGCGTGGACTGTTTCCGTCTGAACTAGTCACTCACCCCCTATGGTGGGCTGGTCCTCCATACCTATTAGAAGTTCCTCAGACATGGCCGCCAACACCAATGAATCAACCTACTGATCTCACAGCTCAACAGTATGAATCAAGAAAAGCCACTGTGCTTCACGTGCTCATCAACTCGTCGATAAATGATTTATTAGAACGTTACTCGTCTCTCGACAAAATCCTCCGTATAATTGCATATGTACTTCGATTTGGAACAACACGTGCTGCACCTCTGCTTTCTACTGCTATAGGTGCCGATGAACTAGCACATGCATTGACTGCTCTGATATATTTCACGCAACGCACCGCCTATTCTGACGATATTGACAAACTGTCCAAGCGGGTTCGCCCATCCAAGGACCTTCGTAGTTTGGATTTGTTCCTTGACCCATCTGGTATCGTCAGAGTGGGCGGTCGACTTACAAATGCCAATATTCCATATGCGCACAAGCATCCAGCTCTCTTACCTTCGTCTCATGTGTTGACCAAACTGATAATTGATCATCATCACATTCGGTTGAAACATCCTGGTGCTCATACCCTACAATCGCATCTACAACAAGAGTATTGGATTCAGTCAGCTCGTCGAACTATACGCTCTCGTCTCCGGTTATGTATCTCTTGCTTCAAAACAAGACCAAGAATCATTGAACCAAAAATGGCTGCGTTACCCAAATATCGTGTTCAGCAAATAAAACCATTTTCGATCACGGGAGTAGATTATGCTGGTCCTGTTCTGATAAAACGTTCGCACGGACGCTCCTCTGCTTCAATGTCAGCGTATATCTGTTTGTTTGTGTGCACAGCTACCAAGGCACTACACCTGGAGCTGAGTTCTGACCTGAGCACCGAGACTTTTCTATTAGCATTTACTCGCTTTGTCGCTCGACGTGGTCCTGTCCGCGAAATGCATAGTGACTGTGGCACAAACTTCGTGGGTGCATCACGAATCCTGACTCCGTTGAAAACCTTCCTTCACTCAAGTTCCTTTCAAGATCGAGCACATCAACAGTTAGCGAAAACTGGTGTAAAATGGTTCTTCAATCCTCCCTCGTCACCACATTTCGGCGGGTTGTGGGAGGCTGGTGTCAAATCTGCCAAGGCACTGATTCTCAGGTCAGTTGGCACACATCGATTAACCAGTGAAGAACTAATGACACTACTCGCCCAAGTTGAAGCCACGCTGAATTCTAGGCCATTAGGCGCTTTGAGTAATGACCCGTCTGATCTCTCTGCCTTAACGCCCAGCCATTTTTTAACCCTCGAGCCTTCAGCAAATCTGCCTGAACCCAACATAGACTCACTTCCACTGTCTAAGATGCAACGGTGGCGTCTCATCACTGACCTGCATCGCCACTTCTGGGCGAGATGGAAAAATGAGTACCTATCCAGTCTACAACACCGGAGAAAATGGTCTGACAATCAAGGGAAATTGGCTCTTGATGATCTTGTCCTGATCAAAGAGCCCACGGCTCCTCTTCATTGGCACCTCGGACGAATCGTAAAGCTGCATCCTGGATCGGACGGAGTTTCCCGCGTTGCAACCGTTCGAACTGCAACGGGCCTCCTGACCAGACCTGCTGTCAAGCTTTGTCCTCTACCTTCTCCTTGAAGTCATCCCTTCAAAGTGGGCGGTGATGTACGCGCCGAACCGTTGTGCATATCGCTTATCTGTGCAACGTGACCGTTGTCCACTTTATCTCCCGTGCATCCATACCCCATACATTATGTCTAATTAAAACATTATTATAATTATTAATTACTATTTATTGTCTTTGTTTCTGTTGTACCATTTGCTTATATGTCAAATGTCTTTGTAGATTGTTCATGTTATCATTGTCTTGTTTTTAATCGTTTCGGTATCATATTTTTTCTTCGCTCTTATATTTTTTCTTTTTTTTCTGTTTACGTATCAATTTGTTCTTTGCCACTTTCGGCACCCGTACCTTTTTTTGTCGTCGCCATTGCGGCACGATCATCGATTGAACTTACACTGCATCGTCGCTGGCTAATATAGCCACACATATGTTCAATAAATATACACTCCACCAATAATAAGTGAGTTCTTTTTTTGTCTCTTATTATTATCTGCTCCTCACCAACGCGTGTGCGAGATATCCTATATTGTACGTGTGCCATCACCCCGTCATTCCTGCGAGACCGTCGACTCTTTGTCGAGTGCTGATAGTCGTTGCGAGCCGCGTACGCGGTCTTCACGTATTGGTCTCCCAGTCCGCATAAGTCCGCCAGCATCCGGCGTGGTGTGTGTGAGGCCGCCCTGGTCTACCAACTTGCTGCCCCGCTGCTGCGTAAGTCCGCCAGCACCCAATTGAGGGTGTGTGAGAGGCCGCCACGGTCGTCCAGTCGCGCCACTCATCGACGAATCTATCAACCCACTGCACCTGCCTTAATTTTAATTACCCTTAAGTAATAGTTAGTAAGAAATGCCCGATTATATGTGAGCCTCGTCGGTCATTGCACCACACCGAACTGACCAAGAGGACAACCCCACCCAATATTTATTAAACTGCTTCCGTCCTATCATAACTTCCGTATTTCCACCACAGGTTGCCGGTCCTACGTTTCAGGCAAAGCAAACGGTCGGATAAGTTGCCTACCCACTCAGGTTAAGGGGCAAATCGATCCTGTAAGAGAAGTTGTCTATACACCACCCCTTACGGGTATAAAGTGTCCCGTCCGATCGAAGTAGCACCTTTGTTCACTATACAGTTCCCTTGAATCATATCATTTATGTTGCTTCAAAACATTACCAGAACGTTACCTTAAACCAACGAAACTATGTTTCCTTTGATCCTCACATATATTTTTTTAAGCCATCATATAGTTCCATTTCAAATGAAATTTATACAATTACAATATGAGTTGATTTAGGGTAGTATGTTTGTCAAGTACCGATTATGCCAGGCAAATAATAACAAGTCTCAGAAAATGTAAATATTTTTCATTGGCGTATAAATGTTGAAATAACTTCATAATACATGGATAGACAACATAAATTCAATACAATAATGTTTAATTAAATCATTACATCCCACTGCAGTGTTTTTGAAAGAAAATATAATAAATTAACAAAATACACAGTTATACAGTTTATAAATATTTGTATTTTTATTAAGTATGCAATTATGCAAATATAAATAAACAACTTATTGCTAGATATTTGAGATTATAATATATACAAACTACAAATACAAATACAAAAAAGCTAAATTTTTAAAAATGTTTAGAGAAAAAGTAGCAATTAAATACAACACAACGATCAAATGTCAACTAGTTATCGTAATATATTTACTTCCTTACGACGGGTAATACCTAGCATTGGAAAATTAAATCTAAAACAATAGTATTATTAAATTAATAATACTATTGTTTTAATTTATCAGTCGTTATTATAACTTACAAATAATATGTAATACAACTTCTTAGATATATTATCAGAACTTAGTACCTAGTTGCAATTTTTTTATTATTGTTTTATATTAACAACAATTATTTCTCACCACTTTATAAACTATAATCTATAGGAATTTTTATATCTAACAATAGTTATTAGAATTATATCAGACGATCATAGGCGCAATTTCAACATATAAACTGAGGGTGCTTAAGCTCTGCATTTCCTGGGTATTTAAATTAAATTATACCTATGAGGCACTTATGACTTTTTTGAGAAAAAATGGTTTTATGACAATTTAACATTGAATAGTTATAGTGCATTAGGTACATTTTATAAAAATTAATACAATAGTAAATTTTAATTTATTAAAAATTTAAAACAAATTATTTATATTTTATTCAAAAAATATGACAAATAAATATTAGTGTACAAGGGGTGTAACAGACAGACTTGACAAAAAAAAAAAAAATAAAGCTACTTAAATTTGTGACAAAAATTGTTAAAATTATAAAAAAAACATTATAAATATTGATTAGAACAAAAGTTATTCCAAAAGTCAGTTATATCTGTACCTACTATATTATATCATTCGGCATACACAATCACACAGGCTGTCGGAAACTTGGAACTCCAGTGAACACCAACTGACAAGTTATTCGTATATCGTAATTAGGTTTTTGTCCGAATTAGATGTGGGCACGGGAATGTTTCTATCACGGATTTTTATATATTATCAGGGGCGGATCCAGAGTTAGGAAACTGTGGGTCAGGAAATTTCAAGGGGCCACTTATTAAAACCAAATTAGAAATCTATACTTGTGTACTAGGTATATAAAACAAAAAAAAGGTGCTCCGATGTACAGTAGGTTACAAGTGGGTCACTGTATAATGGATAGTATGAAATTTGAATTCAATGATATAATATCATTGTATAAGAAAAACGATTCTGAGCGGAGACGGTATGTCAGTCTAGGTATAAGGCATATTATTTTCTTATCTATCGTATTAAAAAAAATGTACCTATAATAAATTCCAAATTAATCATATCCCAATATCCATTAGGTACTTATAATGCATTATACGTCAACAACAAACCCTGATACTATCATAGTCCATACTCCATAGGTATATAATAGTGTACTTTAGATGTTTCAAGTACCCATGAATAATATTACACAATCACAAAAAAATAACTAAAATAGTTATTCTAGGTTTTTTTTATGTAATTTTATCCAAAGTTGAACTTAAAATGACTATAAAAATAAACTGTGCTTATGTATTTTTTAGATTTTTTGGTAACAGAATTAACTACAATGGTGAAATCATGTTTTAAATTTTCAATCCTTAGATATAAAAGTTGAACATTTTATACATTTTTAACTACAAAATAATTATTCAATTTTAAATTAGATAAATTTTGTCAAAATTCGATCTTTAAATGCTTATAAAAAAAATTGTGCAGCCTATGTATTTTTAATATTTTCAACTGATATTGTAACAATATATCAGGAGCCTTATATTAAATTTTTACACTTTTTGGCATAACAGATAAAACTTTATTGATATTTATAGAAAAAAAAACTAAAAAAATTGAAAACTGAAAAGCTCAAAAAGAGTCAAAATATTTTTGCTGTATACCTAACCTGCTGTACATTAGGTTACAACTTACAAGTGGGGGTCGCTGTAATGGATGGTATTAAATTTGAATTTATAATTATATATAATATCATTGTATAGGAAATGCTAATATGAACATTCAGTGAAATTTTCATTTATCTACAGTTATTTGTTTTTGAATTACAACAAAATAAGGAAATCGCTACATGAGAAATCGAGTGAATATCCAATGTTGTAAAAATTTGAATTTCAAACGCTCATAAAAATTTAATTTAACTTTCCGGTAGAGATTTTTTTATTGATAAAGGTAGACAAACTTATGAGTAATCTTGTATTAAATTTTCAAATCTTAGATTTAAAAAGAAAAACTTTTACGAATTCTTAACTCGAAATAATTTTCTATATTTCGTGATTTTTCCATATTTTGTAAAGTTTTGAACTTTAAATGCTTATAAAAGAAAATTGTGACTAACTATTTTTAATATTTTTCATCTGCCTTTAAACAATATACTAGGAGCCTTATAATACATTTTCAAGCTTTCTAAGCTAACAAATAAAATTTTATTGATATTTTTAGAATAAAAACTAAAAAAAAATGGAAAATGAAAATGTCCTTAAACAGTTCAAAACAAATCATAATATTTTAAAAATTTTATCGTGTATAGAAAATGCAAATATAGTGAAAATTCAGTGAAAATTTCATGTATTTACGTTCATTTGTTTTAGAGTTACACCAAAAACCAAAATCGATTTTTTGGAAAACAGATTTTGAGTAAAAATTTCCGTTATTCCTTATTTTTTATGTGTTTAATCCCGGCGCTTGTGAAAACTATTGGGAATTTTAAAATTTTACCTCCCGAATGCACCAACTAGATTCACTTTCCAATCGAACAAGATACTGAAGTTGAAAATCGAAGCATTATTTCGACTACCTATCGTGTACACAGGCACAAAAATAAATAAAAAAAATTTTAAAAAAAACACACATTGTAAAATCAATACATTCATCGTTCCACTCAGAATCTAAAATTCATTTATACTATATGTGTGTTTATTTAAGTGTCCAACTACTCAAGATCTGAAAAGAGGCCAATTTGATCAGAAAATATTAACTGTGGGTCAGCTGACCTCCTGAACCCTCCCCTAGATCCGCCCCTGTATATTATTATTCTATATATTATATATATATTGTGTAGTAGGTATAGAAGTCTGTGGTTTCTATTAGTAAATACTCGCGATACTATAAATTGTCGCAGAGCTGAGTCGCTGCTGAACGTGATAACACTGATAATAATATAACCGACCACAACGACCGGGCTTAGTAGAAACATTGGAAAATAATGATTTATATTCTAAATAGATTTTAATTCGTTAAAATTACAATTGTCGAGTTCATTGTTTCATTCATTATACTCAGATACCCTCATGTCTGATGATAAACTGTTTTTGGTTTTTTTTTGTTGTAAAGAGAAGTTTTGATACATAAACACATATTTATTAGATGGTGCTAATTTTAAAATTGGGGGTGCTAATACCCCCTAAGCCCCCCTATTTGCGCCTATGCAGACGATAAATAT